GTGTGGGTGTGGGTGTGGGCATAGGCGGCGGAGCCACGAGGCCTGGGTAGGCACAAGCCTACCCTATGTTGAAGAGGTAAAGGCTTGGGTAGGCTCAGGTAAAGGCCTGGGTAGGCTCGGATAAAGGCTTGGGTAGGCTCGAACTAGTACATATAAAGGCTTGGATAGGCTCGATTTAACGTATAAATTTTCTAATATTAGTTAATTTGCATGTTCTTCTGACAGATGGCACGTTATTACAAGGTCAGTCTGCATTTTCTCAATTACAAACTCGTGTACAGAGGCATACTGATTGGTTTTCGTGGACATCTATATCTACGTCAAATTCTTTATTTCCAACATAAGATAATTTGACTATTGTTATAAACTTCTGTTCAAAATAACTTTTGAATTTTAAGCAATAAAGGACAGTACACTTCCATAGACGGCGGAGCCGCAAGGCTTCAGTAGGCTGAAGTTCATCAAATTTGAAGTTTCATAGCCTAAGAGAGACTCGAACAGTTGTTTCTCATTCTATCAGATTAACAAACTTGGTTAGTGCTTGAAAGTTTTTGCTGTCATCACCGGTAACTACTGACACTTCTAGGAAAAAAACTGACAAAAGAACATTCCCAGGTATCAGAGCGCTTTTCAGACGGGGTTTCACGCATCTTGTAGCCTATAGTGAGCTGTGTCTATGGTTAAAAAAGTTCGGGCTTCTGACTTGTTTCTGAGGAGATATCGAGCTTCTAGTGAATTTCCTCTCTAGTATGCCCACATTGGCAGTAAAGTTATAGTTCCGAATTTTGATCTGAAACCTTGCCTGCATAAAGGCCTCAGCTTGACTGGTTTGCATAAAAAATTTCAGAAGCTTTGTACAAAGCATCTTCAAGATACGAAACTTTGAAAAAAATGCATATTATATATATTATTTATGAAAAAGGGACTGTATCTTGATAGTTTCATATCTTAGAGAGACTTCATTTCAAACTTCTGAAATTTTTTATGCAAAGTAGTCAAGCTGAGGCCTTTATGTAGGCAAAGTTTCAGATCAAAATTCGAAACTATAGCTTTACTGCCAATGTGGGCGCAGTAGAGAGAAAATTCACTAGAAGCTCGATATCTCCTCAGAAACAAGTCAGAAACCCGAACTTTTTTAACCATAGACACAGCTCACTATGGCCTACAAGATGCATGAAACCCCGTCTGAAAAGCGCTCTGGCACCTGTGAATGTTCTCTTGTGAGTTTCGTATGATTAGGTGTCCTGGTATACATTAGGAATGAGTTCACATCACTGTTTTGTTACGAGTGAAGAATACCTTCACAGGATCTTGCAGTCATATCTACTGGATAATGCCGAAAAGTTTCTCTTCTCTCAGCAGTCAATCTCAGATACCAATCACGCATTTTCAACACACTGAACTAATCCACAATGGGATTCCTTTTCTAGGAGCACTACTGCGTCGTAACAATCCTAATTTCCAGTAGTACAAATCAAAAGCTCTTTGTTGAAAGCAGCTCACCAAATAAGTTCAGAATGTAACCGACCCTAGTTTGGAGTCTGAGTCTGAAATATTACTGTTGTCCAGAGTCAGCTCTGAGTCCAGGCACAAGTTCTCGAATACAAATCTGATGGGAGCTAGCTGCATGCAAGAGCCAGTTATAATTTTGTTATTACAATATTACCGTCAAGAGTGTTTGAAAAATATGTAAGATGTGCTAGTCACTGAAAAATTAATCAAAACAACTGCAGCATCTTCGAAATAATTTTCAAATCTGGAGTAAAAGAATTCCATTGAGAGTACGAAGACTAACAATCCAGATTCCGATACAAAATTTTTTGCATCCAATGGACTATGTTAGAAAGTCAATATTCAATCAAGACAAAATTTTAGGTGGCTATTTGAATACAAGTTCTTTGCCATAAGTTGCAAACTCATCTCTGATTTGAACTAATACTGGGAATTAAAAAATTGAGTTAGAAATAAACAGTATTAATTGCGTTTATTTGCGTAGTATAGCAGAAAAAAATTATCCGCTCTATTTCTGACCCGTCGGTAGGGGTCTTATAAAAAATTTTGAGCCTACCCTAGATTCAAAACGTTCCGCCGCCTATGGGTGTGGGTGTGGGTGTGGGTGTGGGTGTGGGTGGGTGTGGGTGTGGGTGTGGGTGTGGGTGGGTGTGGGTATGGTGTGTGGGTGGGTGTGTGGGTTCGGGTGAGGTGTGGATATGGGTGGGTGTGAGTATGGAATGCGAGTAGGTGTGGGTGTGGGCAAGGGGGAAACGGCGGACTTTTGGACTTGAAGTTACTTTGAGCTACTTTAAGCTACTTCAAGTTACTTTCAGCTACTTGAAGTAGCTTACTTTGAAGTACTTTTCAACTTCTAATTTACCTGAATTTACTTCAAGTTACTTTAAGCTACTTGTTCCTACTTTGGGATACTTGAGTGGTACTTTGAGCTACTTCAAGTAGTCTACTTTGACATACTTTTCTACTTAAAGTCCACCGTTTCCCCCTTGGGTGTGGGTTGGTGTGGGTGTGAGTGTGGGTTTGAATCACCTCTTTACCCACACCCTACACCCACACTCACACCCATACCCACACGCACACGCACACCTACACCCTCACCCCACACCCACCCACACCCATACCCACACCCATACCCACGCCCACACCCACATCCACACCCACACCCCACATCCACACCCACATCCTATCGAATGGTCTTATTAAAGTCCAGAAACAAATGGAAGAAGCCTTCTGAAAGCAATGTTCAAAATCTCCAACAGGTGCTTACGTGATTGGTCAATTGAGAGCCAATCAAATTTTGACATGTCTTTACTTCTCCCACATTGCTCTTTCGAATGGTGAAAACCGTAGCTCGCTCGCTGCTTCCGTTCTTGAATTATTTAAAAAAAACATTCGCGTTCATTTTATTTTGGTGGCGATAGTAGAATAGTGGGTTTCGGAATAATTGACTTTACATCGTGAAAAGTCATCATAAAACCAATAAACTATAGTGCGTTCGATAGCGGACACTTTGCTCTATCTAATGCATTATAAATCAAAAAATCGAAAAATCTGACGAAAATTGATATTTGAGGGTGGCAGGGGCCTTAAAACAAGTATGTAAAATTATCTAATTTTAGAACATTATTGTTTTATAATAAGAAATAGAGACGCGCACTGTCATCGATAATTAGCACATTGACATTGCATATCTCTAATTAGAAAATGTGTTCATTTAATGAAGAAAGTTGTCGAATACAACTTTTAAATAAGATATAGTAGTGTAAAATGCTAAGAAAAATATATAGTGTATTGATAATAATGTGATTGTTGCTTCACCCGTTATGGACGATCACGTTGTTGTTGAGGTTGTTGTTGCCGTTGTTGTTGTGGTTGTTGTTGCGGTTGTTTTTGTGATTGTTGTTGCCGTTGTTGTTGTCATTGTTGTTGCCGTTGTAGTTGTTACTGTGGAAGAAACGGTTGGTACCATTGTTGTATCAGCTGATAATTTAGGCTTTAAAACAGTTTTTGCTAGAATGGTTCCCAGAAATATCGCACCAATAACTACGATGACTACGACAAACACAATCTTCAAACTGTAGTGATGATTTGTGAAAACCTGTTGAATTCTAGTGAACAGCTCCGAGGGTTGAGACCTACCTGGTGCTGGCCACTAATGGATAAAATATAAGACGATTAACAAATAACATCATTTTTTTAAAGAGACTCGTCATTAACCTAACCCCTCCTCGTAATAGAAGACCCCTCGACTCACATCATTTTTAAGCGTTAAAACGGAGTGGGTGTGGGTGTGCGTGTGGGTGTGGGTGGGGTGCGCCGGGTGTGGGTGTGGGGGTGTGGGGGGTGGG